CCACGTACAGCTGGCATTTCTGTTTTTGATGTTTATAAAATGTTGCGCTTCAGGTTTTAGGAGTGTTAAACCTTCTTGGCAGCACTTGCGATTTGCACGGTATTTACAACGTTTTGGTACTATCCGACCACCTGTGGTTGAGCAGTTTCTTCCCCGTCGAGTTTGCAACTCCAACTGCTGTCGCAGTTTTGGGGCCTGATCCTCTGCGACTTCACCGACTGTGACTAAGGAAAGTGAGCCTCTGCAACTTCTGCAGCTGTCACAGATAGGTAGCCTGAGCCCTTGCATCTTCTGCACCTGTCGCAGTTCGGGAGCCTAGAAGTTGCCACTGCCCAGCCCGGATGGAGCAAGTGTAGTTGGTAGGGGGGGGGGGTGGCTAGTAGTAGTAGTAGTAGTAGTAGTAGTAGTAGCAGCAGCAGCAGCAGCAGCAGCAGCAGCAGCAATAGCAACAGTATACGCTTGCTTGTCCTTCCACAAAATCCGAAAAAAATCGCGTGCGTTTCTTGATCTTTATGCCGAGGAGAGTGCCGCAGGTCTCGAAGAACGAGTCCGCTATTCGGCTGAAACTAGGGCGTTCAAAGGGTCACTTCGAAGCTTCTGACAGTAAACCCGGGGCCTCAAACCCCAGCAACTATACAGCCTAGACCCTAAACCCTAAGCCCAAACCCAAGCGAGGATTTGTCAGGAGGGTCTGGGGCCTGGGGTTGCGAAATGCTCGGCCTCTTTCCTCCCCCCAAACTTTGAACCCTAAATCCCTAACCCCTAAACCTTATTTTTTTCTTTTAATGGAGCCTTAGGGCTCGAAGCCCAAACCCCGATCTCCACGCCTCCGATGCTCTCGGCCAGGGCTTTTGGAGACGAAGCTCCGCTCCTTGGAGCTTAGCGACCAGGAAGAGATCCGGGCAGCTGGGCACTGTTTCGTTTAGGGTTTAGGGTTTAGGGTTTAGGGTTCAGGGTTTAGGGTTTAGGGTTTAGGGTTTAGGGTTTGAGGGAAGGGTCGAGGGTAGTGGGGACTTAGGGTTTCAAGTGTACTCTTTGAGGCTACCGTAAGGTGTCTTGTTGATTAGATTCGAGATGATTCCGGTAAGGCTTGTTAGGGTGCATAGGCTTTGGGGTTTAGGGCTGTAGCATTGAGGAGGGTCCGATTTCGCTGTAGCCGAGACCTATGACTACCGGAGTTTGATGGTAAATGCAACTATAAGAGTTCGTCTTTTCGGCTTCAGAAAGGCTTGTGCATTTCCAGCAAGTCTGAAGCATACCCCAAGCCCTAAACGCACATAGTAGGGTTTGGGGTTTAGCGGTCAGGATTATGGTTCAGGATATTTGAGTTTAGGGTTCAGGGTTTAGGCGTCAGGATTATGGTTTAGGGTTCTTTGACACAATATTGACGTGGTGTTTCGCTGTTAACAGTGCCATATACAGGCTCGCCTACTCAGACGCATACATGCGCAGATGCTTGCCTGGGCAGAGCTTTCAGTCGCTACACCAGCACCACCAGCATAGGACGCCCACAGATCTCAAAGGTCAATGCTGGAAAGCACCCAACTTCACAACCCGGGACTTCAGTGTCTAGAGAACTCTTTCCACATCCCAACACCGTTACCGTGGTCTGAAACGTCGAACTATCCGAGACCTTATAGACTATACATCACAAATCATGAACACTAAGTCTATAAGACCTATCAGCCCTGAGCTTCATAAACCCTACACTCAATAATCCCCTCAAGCTTTTATAGTCCCTGATGGTCACCATCTTTGTAGAACCGTCGAAGATCCTATCAACACCCTCATCAACGCCCTCAAACCCCTGCACCCGAACGCCTCAAGGCCCCCTCAACCCTAAACCCCTCAGCCCCCAAAATACCCTAGACCCTAAACCCGCAATTCAATCAACAGCATGATAGCTCTTTTTCCAAGCCCTGAAGTGCACGGTATCTCAGGCCGTGGCGACGCTGAAGATGGCTGCCGCTCAGCATGGACTGGACATCTCCGGAGGTGCATGGGCCTTATGATGGGGGACCTTAATAATTAGAACAGGTTTTACAAGGGTCCTACACTGTTTAAAGAGTATGTATCATTAGAACAATCCGTTGTGAGAGTTTCACCGTGGGCTCGAAATTACTACGATAGGCTTTAGGGGTATCTTGTGGGAGTTTCAAAGGGGCCATCAGGGGGACACGATTAGTATAGACCTTAGAGAAGACCAAACCAGCCTTAAACCCTAACCCCCTAAACCCTGACTGGGTGAGAATGATGCTGACTGAGGCTGTAAGTACTCGGTGCTTTATTTTGGGGCAAGGTATCGGATGTGTACCGTCCCACCTGCTCCCCCCGAATGGGGGTTCTGTTAACACGTCGCTCGCCAGACTCGTGCAGACAGAAAAGGGCTCTTAAAAAAAATAGAAAAACAAAACCTGTCTGGAACAAGCCGCCTCATATTTTTTCTGACTGCCCGATTGGGTTTCGGGTTTGGGGCTCACCCTTGTTCGAAATTCGGAATGCCCCACCCCCCACCCCGGGTTATGCGATCCGAAGACCCTTCTGACCATGTCTCACTAACCCCAAATTCCTTAATTTGTTTCTATTATTGGGCTTTAAAGTTGAGATCAGGAACAACCCTACTTGGTCCTAGGTCCTAGTTTTGTGACAGGCACCATTCGACGCACATCCTCTCGCTTCTGCCTGGGTGTCGAGCATGGCGACTACAATGGAGCTCTGGCTGGTCGTATGATGATGGTTCCTTGATTCCCTAAACCCTAATCCCTTAAACCCTAAACCCTAAATCCTAAAACCCTGAACCCTAAACCCTCAACCCTGAATCCTAAAACCCTAAACCCTAAAACCCTAAAACCCTAAAGCCCTGGAGCCCTGATTTATTCTTGTTACTGGCATGACTCATTGGACCTAATTCATAAGCCAAGGATCCTTCAACTCCCAAACCTCCCAAACCTCTAACCCTAAAGTAACTTCCCAAGCCTTCGAACCCTGAAGCCCGAGAGCCCTAAAGTTTATAACCCTTAACCCTAAACCCTAAACCCTAAGCCCTAAACCCTACACCCTAAGCCCCAAAAATCCCTCAACCCTAAACCCCAACCCCTAAGCCCTAAACCGTAAGCCCCATGAGCCCTAAACTTCCCAAGACCCTCGAACCCTAAAGCCCCGAACCCTGTTCCGCAGGAGCCCTCAGCTCAACCCCCATGCCCCGAGCCTAAAGTGCCCAAGATCCTAAAGGGCATTTTGTAGAAGCCGGAATAGTGAGCAACATTTTTCCAGAGATGATAGGTCTAGTATAGTATAACCCAAAACCCCATTCTAATTCTTAAGGCCCCTACACTAAATTCATAATTTCATAATGTCCCTTTCAGACCCCTTTCGAGAGTCCTTAAATCAACCTGTTTCTGAAGGCGCTAAGCCCTAAACCCTATTCTGATCCTTTAAGGCTCCTTTTTTGCGACACCTTGCGAGGAACGGAGCTCTTTGGCGTTGGGACCGATCGCTTTATCTGGCACCTGGCCCTGCCAAGCTAGGGTTTAGGGTTTGGAGTTTAGGGTTTAGGGTTCGGGGTTTAGGGTTTGGGGTTTAGGGTGTAAGTTTTAGGGTTAAGGTTTAGGGTTTGTAGCATAAGAACTGTAGGCCCTAAACCTAAACCTTGAACCTGAATAACTACTGTTTGGGGTTTAGGGTCAGACTTCGAAAGCTCAGGGCTTGTGCGGTCGTTTGGATTTGAGCTTTGAGGTCCATGGTTTTTTGGCTTTTTGAGCTTGACGGGTTTTGGGATTTTGGGGCTGTTGCGGTTCAACACATTACTTTTAGGGTTTGTTTAAGGCTTTTCGGTGTTCGTGCTTTGGGACTTCGTTGGCTTTCCAGGCTACCAGGGCTTGGTCGTGCTCCGGGTTGTAGTGTCTGGGTAGATGCCGCAGTCTCGGGCTACATGTTGTGGCCTTGGGTTTAGGGTAAAGCCTCGGAATTATGGGCCTGAAGAATTTTTAGTTTTCACGCATATATGCCGAGTGGCAGAGCACTCTGGGACGCTCGGCTATTTGTGGCGTTTTGATTCTTGTCGGATTATGTCGGTTTAGGGGATTGGTAAACATAAAGCCCTCAACAGAAGCCGGCTGAACCACAAGCACTAACAAACGGCGCCAACATCTGGAGGCAAAGCCCAATAACAATCACGCGCAAATGTTCCAAACGCTGCGCCTTAAAGAAAAGTTTTTTTTTTCAGCCTTGGTTCGCAAGCCGGGAACAGTAGGCCATGAGATCTACTTCTCGGCGACCTTACAAAAGCAAACGAAGGCAGTATACAATCGGTCCTCTTAGACACAGAACAGCACAAAACCCTCAAGCCTTCGCCCGAAACCTTCGAGGCCAATCTCTGATCAACGACAAAGAAAAAGAACTCCTGAACAAGAACCAATAGCTGCTGCACAAGAGCTCAGCCAAGGCCTCTAAACCCACCATAAAACTGCAGCCGCAACCCCAAGCCCTGAACCCTACACCCGCAGCTTGTAGCCCTCAACCCTGAGCCTTACCCCCTGCGATGACCCCGCGGCCGAAAAGGTTAGCTTTCAAGCCGAACAACTCGGGGAAGATTCGGATTTACAGCTCTGGGCTAAGTTGATTCATGTAGGGCCATGTAGGGTCTTATATACAGGGGTTCTATAATTATAAGGGTTCTTAGTAGAATTTAGTTTTGCGGGTTTAGGGTTTAAGGTTTAGGGTTTAGTTTTTAGGGTTTAGGGTTTAGGGAAGGTAACCTTTACTTTTTTTGGGGGAGGGGGGGCCGGGGATACTATAATCCCTATATAATCCGAAAGTACTCCCGGAGGTTAACCTGTAGATCCCCAGGATACTGGACAAGTAGGCGTAGAGTCTTAGAGGCTCGTAAAGGACTTCACCGTGCTTTGGGCCGGTCATAAGGGGCTTGTAGGCTTTGGCGGTTCTGCATGTCGTTTCGGCATTTGGGACGCAGGGGTTAGCGCTAAGGTTTCCAGATAAAGTTTGGGGTTTCTCGGTCTTGGGTTATGGGGCTTCTTTAGGAGTGAAGGTTCGTTTCTTCCAAGAGGTCTAGTAGTGGAGGGGTTCGTTCGTGGGTTCGTTGCGAAAGGGGTGCTACGTTGATTGGAACTCTTGGAAGTAGGCATCTGAAAAGGGAGCCTAATCCAATCCAGAAGAGCCTCCGGTAAGAAGAACAGCAACATCAGCACATGAGCAGCAACAGCGACAACAGCAGCAGCAGCAGCTGCACAAATCACGGCAACTGCAACATCGGAGCCACCACCAGCAACAGCAACAGCGGCAGCGGCAGCGGCAGCGGCATCGGCAGCGGCAGCAACAGCAGCAGCAACAGCAGCAGCAGCAGCAGCAGCAGCAGCAGCAGCAGCAGCAGCAGCTGCAGCAGCAATAAAACAAGAGGAGCAACAACAACAACAACAACAGCAACAACAACAATAGCACCAACGGCAACGGCAGCGGCAACGGCAACGGCAACGGCAACAGGGACAACGACACCGTCATCATCATCATCATCATCATCACCATCATCATCATCATCACCATCGTCATCATCATCATCATCATCATCATCACCATCATCATCACCAACACCATCGCCATCACCACCACCACCATCACCACCACCATCATCTTCATCATCGTCATCATCATGAACAGCATTATCAACATCGTCATCATCATCGTCATCATCATCGTCATCATCATCGTCATCATCATCGTCATCAACACCAGCACCAGCACCAGCACCAGCACCAGCACCAGCACCAGCACCAGCACCAGCACCAGCACCACCACCACCACCAGCACCACCAGCACCACCAGCACCACCAGCACCACCACCAGCACCACCACCAGCACCACCAGCACCACCCGCACCACCAGCACCACCAGCACCACCAGCACCACCAG